TGGCACCAAGGGCACACTGCTGGGTATTGTTCAGCTTCTTGTCCCCTGTCCCCCCAGCCTTTTCTGCAGAGCTGCTGCCCAGCCCATCACCCCCAGCCTGCCCCGGTGCCTGGGATTGCTCCTCCTCAGTGCAGGACTTTGCACTTGTCCTTGCTGAACCTCAGGAGATTTCTTTTGGTCCAGTCCTCCAATTTGTCAAGGTCCCTTGACCCTCCAGCATATCTACTACTCCCCCCAGCTTGGTGTCATCTGCAGACTTGCTGAGGGTGCATCCATCCCAGCCACTTTTCAGGACGTGCCATTTGGGTAGGCCATACGGCGTACTAAATGTCAACAATGTTCTAGTGACAACTCTGAATTTACGTATGGGGGAGCAGAAATGAATTTGCCGTGTGTGAAGCACTGGGTTTAAAAGCTCAGGTCCTTAATGAGTTCCCTAGAATGAACCTACTTTTTGATGTTTTTACACTGCCTTGAGAAATGTTAGTTCCTTAGTGCATTGCTCGTGTGTGTGTGTGTGCACGCGCACATGCATATACATGCTGCATGCATGCAAGCATGTGTGCACGTGAGTGGCTTTTTAATTTGGGGACAGGCCTGTTAGAAGTTGCTCTAGCATTAAAGAGGTGTATAGCTGGGCACACGTCTGTTGGCATGAAGCAGCCATGCTCTAGCATACAGCACCATCGGGTTACAGAACATTGGCAGCAGGGGTTTGTGTAAGTTAAATCATCGGAATCTGCAACCTCAAGACTCCTCTTGGATGCTCCATAGTCTCGATATTTTTTAGACTGTGGTTGCCCTTCAGTAAGGACCATGCATGTAAATTTTGGCATTTCAAAGTCCTGTTTAAGCTGTCGGTGCTGATGTGTATCTAAACCTTTTTGGATTGGGTATTTTTTTTTTCTTCCTGCCCTACTCTCTCGTCTCAGTAGGTTTTCCCCCCAAGAGGCCTGCTGGAGCTGTGTTGCAATAGCTGGATAGTTCTGCTAGGAAGACGGGAAGTGAAATAATTTCCAGTGCTATCATAAGGCTCCAGATTTAACTGCTTGAGGTGAAGGGGCAAGCTCTGCCCTGTTGATTTTTCTTGTCCCAAGTGCTCATGATCAACTGCACTTCAGTGGCTTGTGTTTGATTCCTGTCTCTAAGGGGTTTTTTAGTACCCGTAAGAGAGAGGGATGTCTTTATGTGATTCAGGCATACGGATCTGGCGCCTGACGTGAATTCTGCAGCAGATTTCACTGCCACAGAGCACATGAGGAGGCAGCTCCCAGGAAAGATGTGGCATCCATGACTTGAGCTCACTTCACAGAACAACTACCATGAAAGCGCTTTCAGAGAGAGAGAGAGAGAGAAGGGATTCAACACTTCTTTTAAGCCTTGCCATGTCAATGCGCTCGCTAGACTCAAGTGGTTGACCTTTGAGGGGTTTGTGGGGTCTCACGCAGGGCTTAGAATATCAATTTATTTTGAACGGAAAGTTCTTGCCTGTTAATGGAGCAGTTGCTGTCCCCTCTGCTCAGCTGAGCCAGCCAGCTTTCCGCTTTCAAATGTCCATACAGCTAAAACACTTTGTGTATCTCGTGCTCACCTGGCCAGGTTTGTATTCCCTTGTGCCTCTGACTTGAGCAGGGGGAAGGCAGTTGGGTCCCAATAATGTGCAGAAGACTGTTTTTATTCACTTATTTCATTAAGCCAGCTGCCTGCTCTTTGGGCCTAGTGTTGGAAGAGTTCGAGGCACTCTGGTTTTGCTAAGGTTTACCTTGCAAGCCTTCTGGCCCACTGAGCAATAGTTGAGATGCCCTGGTAAGAGGGGTTTGTATTAGAAAAGGACTTGATACTCTCTCTGGCTTTCCTATTTTTATTAGCAATTAAAGCATTCCCAGCACCAGGGAGCGTGCGGGAGGAACGCAGCAGACCCGCAGTGGTCAGCAATTAGCCAGTTGCGTAGTGCAACTTTCCTTGTGCCGAGTTAATGAGTTGTTTCGCTTGTCTATGAATGCTCTTGTCTGTGCTCCAGTGGATTTAGTTGCAGGTCAGGAGCCAGGAACTCAGAGCTGATCCTGGCTGCCACTGATCGCGTGTGCGACTTTGAAGAAGTCCACTCGCATCTCTACTTTGTCTTCCTGTCAGCAAAGTGGAGATGCCTCCCTGACCTCCAGGAGACCATCAGAAGGCAGGGCAGATAGACTAACCAAAAGTTAGATATCTGGAGAGAGAGAGAGAGCACAAGCTTTATGAACACAAGTTCGTTGTACCTGATGCCGTGAAAAGACAGCACGGAGAAGAGCATCCGGTGGTTGGGTAGGTGGGAAGGCAGGGGGAGGAGGCAGACGAGCAAAGAAGCCCTGGGAGCAGAGAGGTCGCAAGCTAATCTCGGTATTGGGATAAGATCCCTGTTTAAACCTCACTGAACACAGCCCAGTCTGCGGATGGTTTCTTGTTCCAGTTTCCTGTGCAAACTGGTTTTTACATTTTTTTTTTTTTTTTTTTCTTCTGCCTGAGAACAGCACGCAGGCTCACAGCAGTGTGGGGCTGGAAGGGACCTCACGTGGTCGTCGGCAGTGCGGAGGTCAGCGATGCAGCATCCAGGGAGGTTCAGGTGTTTTCTCCCAGGCTTTTGTGTCTTTCTGCAGCTGATGTCAGATCACTGTTCATTCATCCTCACGTGCAGAGATCGCCGTGTCTGTCCGATGTAGACAGCAGACAGGCACCGTAAGCCAGGGGTGGCGTGTATGACTCTGGTAGAGCTGCAGGTGAATGAGCCTTGGGTGTTGTCCCCCTTGTTGTTTGGCCCAGTGATGATGTGGGGGCACAGCAGGCATGACAGTTAATTACCTGCCTTGCATAGTGCTCAGAAAATGCCAGGCACTGTGTAATGTATCCATCCCGAGCATTTGTATAACGCACTCCCGTTCATTTTTCCACATGGGAAAAGGCCTGGAGGCCCAGTGTTAATCAGGGGCAGGGGCAGGGTCTCTTGTTCTCTCCCGCAGTGCTTGGGTGAGCTAAGCAGAAAGCAGAGCTCACGCTTAGTACAGGGATTCACAAGCAGGCAGTATTAGCACGGGTTGCACCTACACTGATTCACAAGATAAACCCAGAGGTTTCAAACAGGAATTGACGTGATCAGAAACCCTCTGGTCTGTTGTGGTCTTTCGGAGCGATTTGCGCTGAAGAATTGTTCTGTTACTTCCCCGCGGTCAAACAACAAGTGAAGCAGAAGAGCTGGCGTTTCCTGAGTGAGGCCCTGAGTCTAATGAGGGGGACCTTGAGCCTAACGAGGTTGAGAACCACTGCCTTAGATCTGGTGTATTCCTAGCACGGCAATTCAGGAGGCTTTACGGCGGGGCTGTGTTCCTGCCCTGCCCAGTTTGGTGTTTGCGGTTCATAGGATGGTGTGTTTGGCCAAGGAGGCTGAGAATGGTTTTCCCGCATGCACACACCTGCCCCAGCACGAGCAATATGCTTTCAGCCCTTTCCACGTCTTGTGTCTGCTAAACACTCCCAAACCTTCCCCCCCCCTTTCCAGCACAAGACGGGTCTGGATAGCCACAAAGAAGCGTCACCCGCCCGCCGCAAGAGGCAGTCAGGCCGCCCAACTGTAAGTCTCCGTGCAGATGGATGAAACCCGGTTGTGTGTGCAGGGAAGAGCAGCTCGTGTTTGGACTAGACCAGCATGCGTTCTTGTGATGCCTTGGCACGGTGCACTTAGCAGCTCTCTGCTGTCTGTCCGTAGGCAGGTGGTCAGAGCATGTGGCTAAAGTACCAAAGGTTCACCGAGGGGGGCAGCTGCACACCTGAGCTCGAGAGCACGCAGCCACGTCTGCGGGATTAGTGCTTTTTATGCGACTTGGCTTCTGGCACTTGTGCCAACTTGCTGCCCCTTGTTACCATTCAGGAGTCGGGTGTTTCCCTGAAATACCTGCCTGCTAGCCCTTGCACCTTGGAGCGTGTTGGTAAGTCGTAGCTTCTGGCCCAGTTTCTTGGCTTCCTCCAAAGTGAGCGCCTGTGTTTGTGTTCTAGCTGGAAGGGACTGTCTGAAAGAGAGAGTGCTCTTCTCTGCCCCTGCCTTCCCCCAAGAGTGAGCATGCTGCCTTGACAGTAATCCAACCTTCTCTGACCCCTGCCAGGCATAGATGCTTGTGGGGTCTAGGCTACGGCAGGGCCATCCCAGGGGCTGAAAGCACTCGGTCCTACCAGGCCCTCCACAGTGTCCTGGACACAACTCTAGGCAGGGGTATTGCAGAATGAGGGGTGTTTTCCCTGCTACCCACACTCCTTTTGCCACCGTTGAGCTCTGAATGGAGACACCGATCCTTGAAAGCGACACCCCAATGAGCGTGGTGCTCTCCGGACTTGTAAACTTCAGTATTAGCAAATCCAAACGGAGTTTAACGACTGGTTTTATTTTCTGTCCTTGCCTAAGCAGAGGCACAGATAATGGCTTATGAAAAATGCATATCTGTTAAACCCAGCTGCTTTGAAAATGGTACCAAAATATGAAATACCTTCTTCCTCCAGCTCTTGTCAGCTTAAATTGTTTTAAGGGAAGCATTAGGTAGTGGCCAGGGCAGGGACTGGGGGAGAAAATCTCTTGGGGTCCCTTGGTTTGAATCGCTCTCCCCCCATGACTTGCTGTCTGATTTTTTGGGGGAGTCGGTTCAGTGCTTTGCACCTCAGTTTCCGTGTCTCTAACACAAGACAGTCTGCCTTGCCCACGGGAATGTTTCCAGGTAGCTGATCGCTGTAAAATGCTTCGAAAGATGCTCAAGTGACATGTTAACATAGTTCCAGCCCGACTCGGCTCCACCTGGAGCTGGTGAAGTGCAGTTCGCAACTTGGTACTTACCTGGGTCGTCTGTTGCCATTAAAAAGCTCGAGAAGAGAAGTGCCAGTTCTTTGTCTCCGGTGTCATGCCTGCCCCCGGGCACACGAGTCAGAGAACTGCGAGCATGTGACCGGGCTCCATTTTTTCACTCCGTTTTTCCTTGTTGCAGAGTGCAAGCACAACCTCTGCCGCTGGCCCCAGCGGTGACCAAAGTGAGCTCATCTCCCGGATTTCCAGCCTGGAGTTGGAAAACAGAAACCTTCGCAGCGGTAAGTGAGGGCGGCTTCCGACGAGAGCACGCGTCTGATTCGGGCTGACAGCAGTGCATGCGTCCTCTGTGCTACCAGCTGGAGCCTCGCAGATGATGGTGGCTTTACTAACACTGCAGGGAGGATCACCCTGTGGGTGAAGGAGTGCACTTTGGGTTGAAAGCAAACTCATCCTGTCCTGACCAAAGCATCAGAGCTTGACCCAGTAAAACGGTCTTTCTCTCCTCTCTAGTTGTTGCAGATCTCCAGCACGCTATCTCCAAGCTGGAAAGTCGCCTGAGCACCCTAGAAAGAAGCTCTACTTCTCACCAGTCCTCAGCACCACTACCAACCCAGGTAAACCCCACCTCTGGGTGCCTGCAAGGTGCCAGCTCCATTTAGAGTCCTTCAGGCCACTGAAGGGAAAGGGGAATGCTTGCAGAGGGATCATGAGGCATGGACAGCAAAACCCTCCTTAGCTGCACTTGCAATGGCACAGGCAGGGCAGGGGTATTCCTGCTCTAAAGCCCACTCAGGGGGATGAATAGGGTGGATTCCCATCTGGAGTAAAACAGCGTAGGTGCATCAAAACCTGTGAAGCTAATGCAGGTGACTACCCTGGCATGTATAAATAGGAATATGCTATGAAATCCCAAAGTTTCTCGGTACGTACTGAATATATAGCAAGTAGCACTGCAGAAGATAGGCAGAGGGGGTGTTTCCACAGCCCTTCTCATTGTATTGTACTCTAAGCAGTGGAAGACAGGCTCGTTTGCTTGCCACAGATCTGCCTGCTGTGCAGGTGGGCAGTTGATCCTTATCCCAGGGTGTCCAAGATGTGGCCTGTGAGCTGGACCTGGCGCATGGAGTGCTGGTGCTGCCCCTAGGTTGCAAGTTGACCCACCTATGATGCATGCCAGACTGCCCCATGCGCTGGGCCCGGGACATGTGCTGCACATGGCTGCATGCTGGATCCAGCACTTGCTTGGAATAAGCTTCAGGAGGTATGAAGAGCTGAGCAGAGGTGGAAGGACATATCTATAAAAGTAACAAGCACTAATAAGGTGCCAGAAGCTAAGCTGGCTGTTCCCACACTAATGAGCTTTCACATTAAATTGCCTTAAAAACTGCTCTTAACGTTGAAATCAGTGGGACCTGGCGAGTGTCTAGTGCCGCCTGCTCGACCTGCTGCAGACACTGTACATGGCTTGTGCTGTGTCTTTTCCCTCATCAGGGACAGCATCTCTGGGAGCTGTGTCTTGCCCCTGTCTGTTCACCTTTGCTCCAGGTTGTAGGATGCATCAAACTAACTGTCCCACTCTGTAGAGTACAAAAATTCTTATGTCGCTCCCAAAGACACAGCAATGGAGCCTCTTCTAGTAATGCCTGACATCACAGCATGCGACTGAGGCAGCCTGTGACTCGTTATGAGTGAACAGTGCTCTTGGTGCCAAGAAGGCTACCGGCATCCTGGGCTGCATTGGTAGGAGCGCTGCCAGCAGATGGAGGGCAGTGATCCTTCCCCTCTATTCAGCACTGGGGAGGCCACATCTGGAGTCCTGTGTCCAGCTGTGGCCCCCACTACAGAAAGGATGTGGACACATTGGAGAGAGTCCAGAGGAGGGCAACGGAAATGGTTGTGGGGCTGGGGGACAGGACTGGTGAGGAGAGGCTGAGGGAACTGGGCTGGTTGAGTCAGGAGAAGAGAATACCAAGGGGGATTGAATAGCAGCCTTCACCTCCCTGCAGGGGGGCTGCAAAGAGGATGGAGCTGGACTGGTCTCAGTGGGGGCAGATGACAGAAGGAGCAATGGGCTCAGGCTGCAGCAAGGGAAGTTGAGGTCGGATACTAGGAAAAACTCTCTCAAAAGGTGGGTGGTAAAACACTGGAACAGGTTACCCAGAGAGGCTGTGGACTCCATGGAGGTGTTTAAGACCCAGGTAGACAAAGCCTTGGCTGGGATGATGTAGTTGGGGCTGGTCCTGCTTGGAGCAGGGGGTTGGACTAGATGTGAAGGGACGAGCGTTTTTGTGGCTTTGCTTCGCACCTCGACTTTCCTCTCCTCCCACCCTGCTCCCCACAGCATGTCACCCCCATGAAGAAGGTGGAACCACTGTCTGTTTCCTCCAAGAAAGTGGAGCTGCCTTCTGCACTACCTGCAAGGAAAACTGCTGAGCCCGCTGCTGCTGATGAGGATGAGGACGACGATGACATCGACCTCTTTGGCAGCGATGATGAAGAGGAAGACCAGGAGGCTGCCATGGTCCGGGAAGAGCGACTGCGTCAGTATGCAGAAAAGAAATCCAAGAAGCCGGGCCTCATTGCCAAGTCTTCCATCCTCCTGGATGTCAAGCCTGTAAGCGCATCCTTACACAGCAGATGTTTTGGCCCCAAAACAGGGTGCTCATACTGAAGCTGTTAGTGACGTTGTGGGAATCGGGGTATTACGGGTGGGCAGCAGCTGCCGAGCAGAGATGGTCTGGCTCACCGAATTGCAGGGTGATTGTAGCACGATGGGATCTGTTGCCGATGGGAGCTGCTGCTGCTCTGTTGTAAAGGTGGCAGTCGGAGATCATGTGGCTGCCCCATGGGCTACACATCCTGCTCTGGACTATTGCTCTTCTCTTGAAGAGCTAACTGGCACCTGCTGGAGCAGAAGCTGATAAATACCCTGAATATGGGCACAAACCAATGGTCCGTCAAGCAGAGACTCTACCATCGTAGATATGCGAGCAGGAGAGTGTCTTACCACGTATGTGCTGCTGAAAGGTAGATTTGGGGAGCTGAGGCCCTGCGGGGGAGAAGTGTCCCTCCAAGAACAGGGTCCTCAAAGTTACAGCGCTGACCTGCTGCAGTTTTGGTCTTGCTTCTTGCGTAGTCCTACCCTGGAGACGATTCCTCTGGGGGAAGACTCCACTTGGCCTGGCTCTGGGCAAAGGAAAGGGTTGGCAGAGACGAGATGAGCTGGCAGGAGGTCCGGAAGTCATCTGCTTCAGCAGTTCTCAACCTGTGGGTCATGACCCAAAAGCGGGTCGCAAGAATATATGAAAGGGTCACGAACAAACTTGAAAAATGGATTCTCCTTTAAAGGAGAAAAACGTGGGGAACTGTGTCTTGTCCCTTGCAGGCTGGTGGAGTCCCTGCAAAGGGCTGCTTGGGGCTTCCCCATGCCCCACACACCCACACCCTACCCCACACATGGGGGACTGTGGGTTGGGAGTGAGGGGCATTGGGTTGGGGCTAGCCCCTGATGTTTTACAAGTGGGTTTTGGTACAAAAAAGGTTGAGAACCACTAATCCAGTTCACCCCCCTGCTGGAGACGGGGTCAGCCCTATCCAAACCATCCCGTTCAAGTCCTTATGCAGCACAACTACAGGGTATATTGCCCAAAGGCATCAGAAGGGCACTGTAACCTGCCGGGGTAAAGCAGGAGGATGAGGGTTGTTCGTCTGCTGCAAGGATTGTTAAAATGAACTTGAGAGATGCAAGGGAGAGGGCCCCACCTCCCATCTCCCCCACGTCAGTCCATACCAGTTTGACCACGGGGTAAAATTCCTTCTTGATCCCAAATACGGCATTGGTCTGACCCTGAGCAGAGGCGCGAGCCCCTCTAGCTGTCCTAGCCCCAGCAGGGGCGTTGGCACAGCCCGGTCTCTATCCCAGTCTGGGCTGCAGCAGCACCCAGCACCTCCTGAGCAAGGCAAGAAAACAAAGCCTCCCTCCACTGCATGTAGCAACAGGAGGGGAAAAGATTCCTTCCCAGCCAGCAAAAATCCCAGAAGCCTGGGGAAAAACCCAGCAGCCTCCGCTCTGCAACCCAGGGACAGCAAGCAGAACTGGGACCCTCGGGTGGAAAGGCCCGAGGATCAGCGTGGGTGGGCACGGGGGGCACCTGAGCTTTGCTCTCCCTCAAACTGCGTGGGATTCGTCACAAGGATGGTAGTGCCACCTGGCGTGCTGCGGCACCGTGGCAATGCCTGCGCTACAACTGTAACGGCAAACGGGGAAGCCGCTCGGCCAGAGCCCTGCCCAGCACGCCAGCACCGTGGTGCAAGCAGAGCTGACGCTTTCATTTGGCAGCCTCGTTCTCTGCCGGGTCCTGTGGAGTCCAGTCTCCCGTCTCTTGGCTGCTTCCCAGCTCGGAGCCCTTTGCAATGCCCTTGTTGCCGAGTCTGTGCAGACTTGAAGCGCGCGTCGCCATGCCCATATCTGCGGTGGAGGAGCAGGCTTCTCCAGCTGGCTCATTCTGGGTCACCTAGCAGGGAAGCAGAGGCTGGCTGTGAACTCAGCTCAAGTTTGTAGGGAGGCTGAGGTTGCGCCTCAGTTGCAAACCACAGTAATGCCCAAGTTCTTCTAACTTCACTGTCACTTGAATCGACGGTAGCAAGTTCAGGGTGGCCAGCCCAGGTTACAGTTTTGCCAGTGTGGGTATGCCGTGTGTCCCAAGTCAGCCTCGGAGCTGTGGGTAAGCCTGCTCGGTTCTCTGTGTTTGCCTTTTCAGTGGGATGACGAAACGGACATGGCGAAAATGGAGGAGTGCGTGCGCTCCGTTCAGATGGACGGCCTGGTGTGGGGAGCCTCCAAGCTGGTGCCGGTCGGCTACGGCATTAAGAAGCTCCAGATCCAGTGTGTGGTGGAAGATGACAAGGTTGGGACAGACATACTGGAGGAGGAGATCACCAAGTTTGAAGACTATGTAAGTTAAGCCGTGGGCCAGGCCTCCAGGAGATTGTTTGGCCCCTGCCACGTGTTTGTGGCATATTCCCATTCTGCAAGATTTACATTTTCATTTAGAAAGAACGGAGGTTTTTGGCCCCCTTGATTGCAGAGCACTCTTCCTCCAGCTCTTCATGGGGGCCCAGCCCTGTGCCACCTTGTTCATCAGGTCACCCCCTGCTCTTAGAATAGCGGCTGAATCCAAAGGGTCAGTTTTCACGATTAATTGGTGCAGTTCCTGATTGTTCGAGACTGCTGGAAACAGCTGCTCTGGGACCAGTGGGCTCCCTCGTTGTTCCCAGTGGGACATTAGCTGTAAAGTTTTAATTGTGACGTTTAAATTGCTGACCGCTTTGGCCGAAGGGGTGGGGGCGAAGTTCCTAGCAGAGGTGAGCGGGGAAGGGAAGGAACCGTGCTGCAAACAGGAAACGTAAGCAGGTAGGGACGCGGGAAGGAGCCAGAGGGCAGAAACGAGCCATTTTCCCACTGGGCGATAGGGCACTGACAAATCAAATCAGTCTGCTTTGTAAAGTCCGTCTCTGACCTGCGGTCTTTGTGAAATCATCACCATTTAACATCCCTGGGGGTCTTCTGTGGCCAGAAGGGAGCGTGCATCACCCCCAGCTTGCAGCCTGGCCCGGGACTCTTCTCAGTAGTGAGGACGCGCTCCTTTCTACAGAATGCATTGGGCGACTGTTTTGATTTATAAACTTTTTGTGTTGGGAACCGTTGCCTTTTATCCGCTTGCGCGGTATCTGGCAGCTCTGGAGCTAATGATCCTGTCCATAGTCTTAGGATACGCCCCTTTCCAGGGCAGGTAAATTCCTGACTCGGTGAAGGCGAAACAGAGTTCTGTTGGGAGCATTTTGGACGATTCGATTAAGACGCGTGCCGTCCGTTCGGCATTCACCCCGGCCAGCTTGCTTTCTGCCCGCCTGCTCTCGGGTCTCCATCAGCGTTTCTTGTTGTGTTGCAGGTCCAGAGCGTCGACATTGCTGCTTTCAACAAGATCTAAGAGCAAACCTTTATCCTTTCTGAAACCGGCACGAATAAAGATCAAGGTTTCGAGTGCAGATGGTGTGGGTGTGTTTCCTTGTGCGAGAAGGTGCCGGCATCACAGCGGTCCTCTGAAACCTCACAGAAGCCAGAGGAAGCAGCTGTGGCATATACAAAAAGCAGATATTTGTGTCCCGTAGCTCCATTTTAATTCTCTATTTCACCCTAGCACTGGTTGGGAATCCATTTCCTCTCTCACCTGAGACCGGGTGTACAACACTTAATCTGTTGGACACCTGCTTTACCCTTAAATAGCACTAAACGCTGCCAGCCATCCCCGGCGTGAGAGTCGCCAAGTGTCATGACTATCGGGACGTAGCGAAGCACGAAGCTGTGCTCTTACAGGCTTGGGGTTTGAGACTTGCTCAGCGACTATAAAACCGCCTCTGTATTCCAGTGATACTTCGCGGGCGTCATGTGAAAATAACCTCTGCAGCAAGGGACCCCAGAGCAACTCTCAGGTATTTTTAAGCTTTGCCTTGGGATTTAGCTAAATCACCATGCTTGAATTGGCATGCAGGAAGAAAAGCTTGCACTGCATACTAGATCTGTTCCTGCTAGTCGTTTTAAACTAGAAAGGCCCATTCTCCCACCGTACAGACTCCTGCTCGTCGCTAATGCGGTTTAACAAGACACCGGTGCGCTGAGCTACGCTACCTTTCCTCAAGGTTTTGGTGCATTAGTGCTAGTCTTGCGGGCACGGGAGTAATAACGTGGTCTAGACGGACAACCCAGCTTGTCGCGCGTCTCGGCTCCTCAGTGACCCGCGTTCCACGTTGGTGGAGGGCGGCAGGCTGGCTAGCGTTATCAGCCCTCTCTCTTGTCACCTCTTCCTGCTAAACAGATGGGTGAGGTGAAAGTCATGTTTGCAAAGCACTTCTACATCCTGGTTATCTGAGGATTTCTAAGCGTGCGGTAGTAGCAGTCTGTTTTGCTTCCCAAGTCCTATTGGCAATGCAGACCAAGCAGGGAGCTGCTTAGACCCTGCTCACACGTACTGTTGCACGTGTACTTACTTTTTATATAAAGACATCCTACAGGAGGCCGGGGTGGCGTGGGTGCACGGGTGACGGCCCAGAGGTCGCGGGTTTGAGGCTATAGCAGGTGTGCTCGCAGCGCGGCCCTGTCGGATTCTGCCAAATGTGTGAGTTCTGCTAAATACCTTGGCGCAAGGTCATGAAAAGGGAAAAGATGGGATATGTCTACGTGTGTGTGTGTGTGTGTGTGCACGTCCATGTTCTTGGTCCTGTAGCGAACTTAATCTTTGATTATAGACCAAGCGTTTCAGACTTCGTGATCTTCATTGGCAGTCCTGTGATTTGAGGGTGATCTCTACCATGGCTTATTGTAGAAAATGAGGGTGGGAAGGGAGCTCAGGAGGTCACATCTAGTCCAACTCCCTGCTCCAAGCAGGACCAGCCCAACTACATCACCCCAGATGAGGCTTTGTGAAGTTGGGTCTTGAAAACCTCCAAGGATGGAGACCACCACCTCTCTGGGTGACCTGTCCCAGTGCTTCACCACCCTCCTTGTGAGGAGTTTTCCTAATAGCCAACTTCAACTTCCCTTGCTGCGATGAGACATTACTCCTTGCTGTGGCTTACGGACAGGAGTTGAGGTGACTTAACAGTCCAAGCCTTGAGCCACTGATCTGTCTGCAGAAGTTGCAGGTTTTTCCACTCCTCTCCTTTTTCCTTCCTCCGCTCGCTCCTCTCCTTTGGGGCTGAGACGCTTCACCTCGAAACAGGCTGCTGCTTGGTTGAGGTTTCGGCGCCGTCGGAGCCCGTCAGCAGCCGGCTTCTCCCAACTCCTGATGCCAGCATCTGTTTTCTTGAGGTCTGCCTTCGGTGACCCTTTTGATCTAGACCACGAGTTTCAGACCCCGAGTAGGCCACGTCCCAACAGGACAGCAAAGAGCCCAAAACAAGGGGAAAAGAGCCAGAACCTGCTCCCTTGCCCAAGCCAGCGTCCCACGGACCACCAGCAAGCACTTCGGTGACTATAAAGCAAAGGGCGCAGGCCTGCTAAGGCTACCATTCCTCCACAGCTAGCAGAGAAACCCCATGATGATTAAGGTGGATATTTCAATCAATCCTGGGGCACCGGTGTGAAGTTCCAGCTGGCTTGCAAGGAAACCGTGCACTGACAAAGCCTTGGCTGGGATGATGCAGTTGGGCTGGTCCTGCTTGGAGCAGGGGTTGGACTAGATGTGACCTCCTGAGCTCCCTTCAACCCTCATTGTCTATAGTACTATAACTAGAAATAATTCTAGTATTATATATTAAATCTATATCAGAGAACGATAAAGGCAAGTGGGATGACCTGGGCGGTGACAGACGGTCAGCTGGATACTGGAGTGGCTCTACAGAGGACTTGATTAAGGAAGAATTTAAAAGAGGGTAATGTCATGAATAGGGTTTATAGCAAATGCATCTTATCGAAATGACTTCACATCTTCTCCTCCTTTGATGAGACGACAAGTTGATAAAGGTAATCGTGTCGATGTGACGTTGTCCTAGGCTTCTCCACAGCGCTAGCTCTGGAGTTAGCAATTCGAGGAGAGGCTGCCAAACTAGAGAAAAGAGCTGTAAGAAATGACTGAAGTATTATTGCCTTGAAGCAAAAGCGCGGGCTCTCTAGCTTGTCCAAGAAAAAGGTTAAGAGGTGACTTCGCCATTTCTACGTCCCGAAAGAGGGAATGGAGGTTGGATAACGTGGCTCTTCCATTAATCGGGTAAAAGCAGCATAATCCAGGCCCGGAAGGTGAAGCTGGACGAGCCCGTGTTCGCTGTTGTAGTCGCCGGCCCCGTGAGCGCGAGTTACCCTTGGCAGCGCAGGGATGGATGGAGCTGGCTACGATGCTGCCCTCTCACCAACAGCTACTCTGGTTCGACTGGGGATTAACTCCCATTTAGACCCGTGTAAACAGGGCCGGCAGGCAAGCAGTGCTTTGCTCGTAGGGCCGGACCCCGGCAAAGCAAGTCTCCCTTGGTGGCAGCAAACTAGAATTAGCAGAAGGGCGCTGGTTTTGATGCCACGGGCAAATGAAGAGGAAGCAAAGCGTGGCCTTGTGCTGCACCGGCGGAGGTCACTTCACCTGACTTCCACCCCTGTAAAATGGGTTTAATTTCCTCACTCCAGGGGGTGAAAAAGCTCAGGGGCGAAGCAGCGTGGGCCAGGCCGGGACCGGCGCGCGGCCCTGCATTGCAAGCTGTCGCAACGCTCCCAAGCCCTGCAGCACGGGACCGACCCCGTGCAGCGCCGAAAGCAGGGCGCGGCAGCGTGTTTGGGTAGAGTGCCAAAAACACCCGCAACCTCGACTTGCGAGACGTTGGCGTGCCAGGGGCCACGAGGGGCCTGGTCCTGGTGGCAGCGCAGCCCTGGCCCCTTCCCCGCCATCTGCCCCGAGCAAAAAGCCTTCGCGTGCCACCCGTGCGGGGGGTGCAACCCCTGGCCTAAGCCCTCTGCCTACATCCTGGTGAATGGGGAGCCTTGCTGGGGGACTACAACTCCCAGGTGCCCTTGCAGCAGGCCCCAGCTGCCGTTGGCTGCGGGCTGCCACGTGGCACAGCAGCTGGAGCCCAGCCTCCCAGGTGGGTGGCTGCAGGATGGAGCCGGGGCAGCGCAGCAGGCTGGCGCTGCTCACCGACCTCTACCAGTTCACCATGGCCTATGGCTACTGGCGGGCTGGGAGGCACTGGGAGCCGGCCGAGTTCGAGCTCTCCTTCCGCAGGTGCCCCTTCCAGGGGGGCTTCGCGCTGGGCGCAGGGCTGGGCGAGTGCCTGGCTTTCCTGCGGGGCTTCAGCCTCTCCCAGGCAGGTAGGAGCCCTGCGAGAGGCGGGTGGGAGCTGCGGGCAGGACGCGGTGCCCGCCAGGGGCCTGGCAGGAGCGCGGCGTGGGTTCTCGGTGGCGCATGCAAGGGGCACGGCCTGGACTTGCGGTGCTGGCGGCTGCGGGGGGAAGAGGAAAGCCTGCCCGCACCCGGTCGCTCTGCCTGGGTGCTGCAGCGCTCGTGCTGGGTCTCTGGAGTCAGGTCTTACTTGTAATGTTCAGCCTTGAGTCTTTTCCGTGCCCCCTTCGGCGCCTTTCTGCTCATTAGTGCCTTTTAATGATGTTTTCTTTCTTCCTGGCTCATCCATCCTTGCTCCCGTGCTGCTTTTTGGCATCGACGCGTACCCTAGCTTAGCATCGCTCCGGCTTAGCCCAGCGGGAACGCCTGGCGGCGCCGCCCCATTGCACCGGCCTTCCCGGGGACTGCCAGGGTCTTCGGCCCAGCCGCCTGGCCTTGACATAGCAAGGGAAGGTGCAAGCCGGGATCAGTGCTGTGTTGCATTAGCTGCAAGGTTCGCACCCTGGACCGCGTTTTGGGCACGGGGCTGGAGGTTGGAGCTCGGCCTCCTCCTGCTCTCGCTGCTCCGGATGCTTTCTCCCCTCCTGGTTTTCCCAGCATGGGTTAATGGCCCACAGCCCTCTCTGCGACTTGGGTTATGCCGCGACGCCGGCGGTTTCCCAGCCACGTGCTGTCGGGGTGCAGCTCTTCCCCGAACCCGCTCCTGCTGCATCTCTCCCCCTGCGAGCGCAGATCCGCGTCGGCCTCCGGACCGAGCTGAGACCAGATGCGACCGGCGGGGCCAGCCCGACCCCTGCCCTAAAACACGTGTCCGCCCAGCCCGGTCGCTTGCCGTGGGGCTCGGTGAAAGCGGGTAGGAGCAGAGAGGGTGCGATCAGGGCCCCGGTCCTGCCCCAAGGCCGGCGGCCCCTGCTCTTCTCTGGCTCAGCCCCCGTCTCCTTGCAGACATCGAATACGTGCGGTCAGCCCTGCCCAGCGGCACGGACGAGGCCTTCTTCGATTACCTGCGCACCGTGGACGCCTCGGAGGTCACCGTCGCGGCCGTCCCCGAGGGCTCTGTCGTCTTCCCCAGGGTGAGTGTCGGCCGGAGCCGGCTGCCAGGCCTCGAGCAAACCTGGGTGAGCAGTATGGGCTAGTGGGGAGAGCGCTGCCCGGGGGCGGAAAGTCGCCTCAACTCCCTGCCTCAGTTTCCCTGCTCTGTGTACCAGGGGGATGAAGCAAGCAGCAAAGGAGGGTCCTAGGGGCGAGCACAGGCTGGGTCCTGGAGGTGCGGGGGGAGCGCAGGGGCCGAGGTGACGCTGCTGGGGGGTATGCAAGGGCAGACACGAGGCTCCAACCTCCCGTCCTCCGGGCAGGTCCCGCTGCTGCAGGTGAAGGGGCCCTTGCTGGTGGTGCAGCTGCTGGAGTCCACGCTGCTGTGGCTGTTGAACTACGCCAGGTGACGCTCGGGGCTGGGCGGATTGGGAGACGGGGTGGGGGGCAGGTCCCGGGGGGGCCCAGCAGGCATGTCCGTCCCCACTGGGATTCGCTCGCACCCTCCCTACCCAGCGTTAACTCCCTCCAGGCCCCGCTGGGAGCTCCAGGATCGGGGCCGTCTCCCGCGGGGTCTTGCCCGGTGCCGGTGCAGAGCCGATATTTGGGGTTTCTCTCTTCCAGCCTCGTGGCCACGAACGCCGCCCGCTTCCGGCTCCTGGCCGGCCCGGACAAGAAGCTGATGGAGATGGGGCTGCGCCGGGCCCAGGGCCCGGATGGCGCCTTGTCCGCTTCCAAGTACTCGTACGTGGGGGGTAAGCCGAGCCCACGCCCCGGCTCCTCGCGGCCTGCCCACGCTGCGCCGGCCGCGCCCGCACCTGCCCCCTTCCCCGTCTGCATTGCAGGCTTTGACTTCACGAGCAACGTCCTGGCGGGGCAGCTGTACGGGATCCCGGTGCGCGGCACCGTGGCCCACTCCTACATCACGTCCTTCTCGGCGCTGGCCGAGGTGCAGCCCCGGGTGAGTGCGTGGCAGGGCCCCCCACAGCCGGCCACCCGGGATCGGTCCTGCGGGTCCTTGGAGCAGCCCCGCCAGGTCTACGAGGGATGCACCATGTCCCCTGCAGATGCTGGCGCCCCGGGCCGGAGGCGAGCCGGTGGACTTCCCGTGCCTCGCCGCGACGTGGCTGGAGCGGGCCTGCCAGCTGCTCCGCGTGCCCCGGGAGGGGGTGAACGAGGGAGAGCTGGCGGCGTTCGTGTCCTACGCCATCACCTTCCCCTGCAGCTTCCAGGGGCTGGTGGACACCTACTCTGTCATGAGGTGAGGCCCGCGGCCGCCCCCCCG